AAGTGGACCTCCCGTACGGTGTGGCACTAGTGACACTAAACAAAGGATCATACGTCATATTTTACATGCACCCATAGCTGAAAAATGTCAGGGAAAATCTGGAGCACAATGAAACCTATTTGAGGTGGAATTTATTCTAAGGGAACAGCTCCAGTGCCACAGCCCGATTTTGGAAGAGTTTAATGGAAACTGCTCCCACGGTCTTCCTTAGGTTTAAAACTCTCAGCTTAGGAGAAGAAAAATATGAATAGACCCTGCAAGCTTCCCAAGAAAGAAAATGATAAACTGCTGTAAGCGAAACGTGTGTGTACATCGGAGGAGCAGCTTTAAAGCAATGTGAATTTGAACGAAGGAAGCTCACAGCTACATATTGCAAACAGCTTTCCAAAAAGGATGTTACATGGTAGGACAGTTCCCCTAAAAGGATGTTACAAATCACATACTTGACTTATTAAACAACAGCAACAGTCTGAAGGGAACAGTATAAGACAGGCAGTAATTCTTCATTAGGAACATCTGATTAGAGGATTTATCTTTCTAAAGTAGTTTTGCCTATTACTGAAATAGAAGGGAGAAAATAAGGGTGCCTTGTAAACAGCTGCTCTACTTTAGGTCCCCCAAAAAAAGCTTCAAACGACAAGGTGCCAACATGAATTCAATAAGGCCGCAATACTGCTCTCCCTGTATTTCAGTGATGTTACAGCTGAGGTTCGACTGGAATATGGATGCAGAGCCCTGCTATTTGGATGTGCAAACACCGATCCCATCCAAATATTAGGATAAGCTAGCCCCTTCCCCAGGGGCAGCTTGGCCTCTGAGACAGACTTTAGCTGCTGGCAAAGATCCTCCCACACATCCCACAACCTGTTTATCCCAACTGAGATCTCTGTAAAGAACTGAATCAACAGATACACCTTTGTAAGTGCAAACATGGGCTGTGAAACTCCAAACTGAAAGGCCAGCGCAGTCTCCTCACATATCCTAACTCCCGCCCTTGAACTTTCAGAAGTCAATTTTTCCTTGGTACTTCTGATTTTAAATGCATGAGCCCTCTTCAAAGTCTTAGCAAGTTTTGCCCTTCAAAAAATAGCTGGTCTTGGTTATTCCTGGTTGGACCTTGCTATCACAACTTCGCAAATGTGAAACAAAATAACAGGTAATAAATTTTGAATACAAATCCCACATTTGTCCCCGAGGAAGTACACCATTCTTGTAAGGATGGACAATGCGGTCTTATCCCAGCATTTATGTCCCTCTTTCAGAACAAAAATAAAACGAGGATCTGCTTATCCTTTCCTTTTCGGTTCAGGAAAACGTAACTTCCTGCGAGAGCCTGATCGGTGGCTGATAATGTCACCTAATCTGAGCAGGAACAGCCTGGGGACTCTGGTGTGAGACAGGAAAATACACCAGCTGGAAACCTGCACAGGGGAGGTACCACCTTCAGTTACCTCCGTCAGCCCTGCTGGCTCTCCTCACGCTTACAAAGACCATAAACCAAACATAACCCAGAGAAGAAATACAGAAAAAAATGTAGGGAGAAGAGGACAAGGAAATCCAGGAACTGAGTGGATTAGTCACTGGTGTCTCGCGCCTGGGATCTGGGACCTGCTGAAACATTTTCAGTTCAGCTAAGTAAACGCAAGATTTAATATCCTCTTGTCAGCAACCGCAAAATTATTTCATGGTGGCTGAGGCCCGACTGCATCTAAAACCAAAGTGCCCTATTGCCTGTCTTTCCCTCTAAAACAAACTGAGGTGCATGAGCAGCTGGCATATCTTTCAAGGCACATTTCAGGTGTTTGCTTTCTTCAGATTAATAAAGATGTTCTTTCCTTTGTTTGTTTCTGTAGCTCACAGGACTTTTTTTCTAAGAAACACCATGCTCATTGTGTGCCCTTTGTATGTCAAGACAACAGAGCAGTTCCCCTTTGGAAGCTTGCTGTAAGCTGGCACGGCTCTGATCCACAGGTCTCCATGAAGCTTTTGATTAAGCTACACCAGTCTGCGTTGCTAAAACCTGCCCTTGTACGTGGAATTATTTATGAAAAGCTACAGGAGAAATGCAGATTTTGCTCCTTATTTAACTGCTACTTACCTTAAAGACAAGATGCACTGACATCAGATGGGTTTTGGAGAAGAAGAGCCGCTTTCTGGCCCCCAGACAGCCCAAATCCCCAAGAGTGACAGGCGACGCTGGCAAGAGCGGCTCAGGCGCGTGCTGTGGTGTTACCCTGTCCACATCGGGAACCTGAAGCAAAGAAAACTAGAATAAAAGTACACACAGAAGGTCAGTGCACCATCCTGCAAGAATGTCTGGATCCCAGCTGGGTCTTTGGCACTATTCTTTGTCTTTCTTCAGGAACCTAACCTTTCTGTAGGATCTATCCAGAAGTGACCGTGCCTTTTACAATATAACATAGATAGAGCAACAGTAGGCTAAGACAGAGCATCTTCCATTTTGAAACTTCTCTGAAGGTCAATGTGATTCTATTAAATGCAGTAACATTTAAAAATCCATAATGCTTTTCCCAAGATTAATTTCTCTGTCATATTTCTAAAGACTTGCGCTTCCGTATCATTAGCTGTAGGTTTTTGGCAAATACAATTGTTCACAAATAGCAGAACACAGTGACAAACAAGAAACAACGAGCTTAAAGGTAGCCAGGTATGACAGACCACTACAGATAAAAACACTGACCAGTACTCCGGTACACACATGTAGCTAATCATGGTGCAGGATTCAAGACACTAACATCTGAGTGGGAGGATGCCGGAATAATCTTTTAAGCCATAAACAAAACTTCATAATCAGGGAGACTTCCTGAAGAAAAGGAATCCATTTCCTTTGGAAATATTTGTTAATAGTAAGTCTAATAAAGGTGTCTGTATCTATAGAGCCTATGGTAATGTATTATGAACAGGTTAATGATTTTGCTTTTTCCACTCTCGGATATCTACAAAAGCAAGCTGTGATTTTTTGTTGATTTGCTGTTTAATGGTCTTGCGTTTATTTCCCAGCTCTGGGAATTGCTTAGGAAACAATATTGATGAGTGAGGGATCTGATAACATTCACTTCAGTTCCCAGAGGCTCGTGACAAAGCATGACATGGAAGGGGAGGGAAACACTTTTCTGCATCAAAAATGGACTAGGAGACTGAAACAAAAACTAGGTGCAAATATTAATTTTATAATGACACAAGGAGAAGATCTAACTGCCTTGCAATTCTCTATCAAATCCCATGTTACTTAAGGTACTTATTAATGATTTAGTATAAGCAGAGAAGAAGCCCAACCTGCAGGAGGACCTGCTCGCCCTGTTTGTAAATATCCCTGAGGACGGGAAAGAATTTCACAAAGACCTAATGTGTGTCCACAAAAGAAAGGGTCACAGCTTTTAGTAAGTTTTCTACAGCAACCTCCTTGTTAATTCAGAGCCTTCCAGTATGCATTTTGCTCTTGTCATCACACAGTCCCTTTACTGCCTTGTTTAAGCCTGAGGTTACAGCACACTTAAAAACCAAACCAATCTCCTCCAGAAAAACAGGCAACTGAAAAAGGAGAGGGCAACGTGGTATTGGAGCTGAGAAACAGAATAAGGCAGCTCAGGCTGAGCACTTGGTAGCCATTGCCACGCGGGTGTCAGCACCCAAGCCAGCTGCTGGGGCTGCTTGCTCACCTTGCGTCTTGTTTTGCACATGGTTGTGTTGTAAGCCTTATTGCTCTTCAAAAATGATACAAACTGCTTTTTATAAAACGTCTGAATAAAGCAACTCTTTCATATCATGCAAAAAGAGACCAAAAGCTTGTTGTAGCAGGAAAATCACCAGCTTGCTGCCCACACCCTGCCAGCCTTTTCTGAGGGGCCCCTCTCCATGACCGGGTGGTGCAGGACTGCACCCTGGAAAAACTGCTCAGCTGCCCACCCCCGGTTTCCCCTTCCCTGGGTGAGGGTCCTGCTGATTTTCCCCCTCGTAACTGGTAACACATCCCACACGGGAAAGAACCGCAGCCACGTACCAGATGTGTCTGGCTGCGTGGCAACGACTGCTGCTGCATCCCCCCCGTCCCCAGACGTCCAGCCATGACATGACCACGAAAATCAGCTGCCCTCCACACAGAAGAGCAGATATCCTTGCTAGATACGCTGCTGGTGATGTGGCAAGAGTGAGACTGGAGTGTGGGATCTCCCCAGGCCCCATTAATAAGTTATACATGCAAATAAGTCGTACACAGAAAAATCCACACCATATCCCTTTTATAAAAAAGGGATATGTTATATATGTGTGTGTGCCAAAGGTATATGCCATGCTATAGCCGTGTTTCCAACAGTCTCCTAGGATGTGACCCTGCATGTCAGTTCTCAGCTGGGTGCATGTTTTCAAATACATTGGTAAAGGACTGACAATGCCTGTTTCAATAGGAATGCTGGCTGATTCAGAAAACTAGGAGAGAAAACATCACAGTTATCTTTCACTGACGTGCACAGGCAATGTGAATGGGCATTTTACAGAAATTTCAAGCCTACTTGTATTTGTTATTAATACAAAGTAGACTCACTTCTAATTTATTGGTTTAACAAGACATACACTGCTAAGGTCGAAGTCTTCTTAAACGCTTTAAAATCTAGCATTGATCATTTTCTTACCTCATACATCAAAACTGCCTTTTAACTTCATTCATAGATGGCCCAAGTGCATAAAAACACAAGATAGAAAAAGAACTTTCTAAAAAAGTGAAATTTTCTGTCAAACTGAAACAAGTTCCCTCCTCCCCGGTACCATTAACGCTTTCTGATTTATGGAAATGTTATTCAGTTCATCTTCCTTTTCATCGGACTGGAAGAATAAAAAGGGTTGTTCACTTTATACTTTCAATGTATATGAAAATGTTTATGACATTTATGACAACATGATTATGGAGAAAAATGCAAGCAGACCAAAGTATAATAATAATAATAATAATGGACATTTTCAACGTTATTGATCTGTCTGATTTTTTCTAATTTGCTTTCTGAAAGGCTCAAATTAAAACAACCGATCCTATTCACTAACTCAGTAAATTCTCGGTGTTGCTCAGAGCAATGCGAGTTTGAACTCACTGAATTGGAATTTCAAGACTCGTCCCCTGAGTTCATTTGGGGAATAAGCACGTCTGAATACGGCTGTGCCTCACCAGCCAAGCGCATGCTTAGTTTTCACAGAATATATGCAGTGCCTATTTGGCTGGCAGAAGTTACTCAGCAATTTTGAGAAACTTGACCACAATGTGTTATCAACAGCGGAGATTTTTCTCCACTGAACATGCAAATGCAACTTTTTCTGAGAAAATGTGGTTTTGTTGCTTTCAGACACAATTTGAGGACAGATTGCTCGTACGCTGACAATATGACCAAATATTGATGTTCGTGTTATTTGGATAGCGATCCCATAACATATTGCATCTATCAAGCAATTACCTTGTCACTAGCTCTTTAAAGTCTAAAATATGTATATGCACAAGGAGCTTTGTTGATGCATGTCATTCCCCAGACCAATAACTTGCAGCTGGGAAACTAACAACCTAATTTGTACCTTGTTGGGCAACAAGATGTTCTGACAATTCATTGTGCAAAGGAAATCCAGACTTCTTAAAGTATGTTTTTGCTGATTCTCTGGGCTTCCAGTAGATTTTTATTGCACTCTAAACCAGGGATTGCATCCCTTAACCTATAATGTTGAAATTCTTCTGAATTCTGTTATTGACTTCAGCTGAAACAGGAATGAACTTCGATTCAGCATGTAACTAGCTGCTTAGGTATTGTCTCCAGCCCCAGCTGGCTGAAACCCTACGTACGCATAGGTAAAGTCCTGTCTTTATTCTGGCCCTGGTATTTCTAAACTGCAGAATTATTATAATATGCAAAAAGGACTCAGGAAAAAGGTTTACATGTTTTAAAATAAACAAATAGTTTTCTTTAGCTTCTAAGGAAATTGAGAAAAAACCCCACACCTTCTTTTTGCCCTCTCTCTCTTTTTCTGGCACCCATTTTGAACCAACCATTTTGTGTATATTCTGGTTATTATTTTCCCCATGCATATCTGCATTCCTAGCACAGTCGAGAATCAGAAATGTCACAAGATTTCTTTACTGGACAGACAAAAATATCTTGAATATGAATTAAAATAAAATTATCCACTGAAGAGCTAAAATCCCTAAATTTCTCACTTAAAGTCAGTCAAAACCATTAATCTAAACTGTTAACATGTCCAAATGGAACCCCAAAGCTGTGTCACAGCAGGCAACAAAGGCTCTTCAAGGTTTTATACCACCCTGAGGACTGCAGTCGGGCCATGGTGGCGCGGGCACGCCACGGACACAATTATGCCGCTTCCATTCATGAACACCTTGGTCCCGACCCAAAGTGCTTAACCACATGCTTGTAGACCTTGTGAAGCCAATGCAATTACTGGAGAAATATTCTACTGTGAGAGTCATCCTGTGCATCTCTACGTTCTTCCCTTTACTTTCTCTAACCTAAAGGTCTAGACACCTTGTTCTTCCTGACATGGAAGGGCTATGGTCATATAGAAAGTCTTCATCGTTATCACCACAATGAAGTGATTAAATGGATGAGCAAGAGAAATCCATTGACTGAATGAAACTTAACTCCTTCACTTCTACTCTTTCCACTTTTAAATAACAACTGTTTGGAACAAGGATCCTGCTCCTCAATAACCTGTGAAGCAGCCAGCATTAACTTGTCATTCTAGGAGTAACAATAACAACCAAAATATTAGGAGCCACATAATGTAATTTGCTATATTACGATGTGTTTGGATAGCAACTGTGAAGTTGCCATTTTTTACAGCTTTTCAGGATTTATAAAGAAAAAACCCACAATTTCACTGTGTTCATTACCACACCAAGACCACCATTTTTCTAGTGACTTGCCCAAATTTTGATACCAGAAAAAATGACACCCTCTCAAGTCTGCTATCTTACTTTTACAACAGAGTGTAAAGGAATACAGACGCAGGGCTCTGTCAACCCTAATAACAGTAGGGGTTTCTAACGTTGCAGTGATTTCACTAGACTGAATTTAGATGTGCTTTCAAACGCAAGCAGTTAAAAACTGCTCCAGAGTCATCCCTGTCTCCAACAGCTTGTTGGATTGCGCCGGGAGATAACGGATTGACATAATTACTGATCTTGGCCAAATGCTGTTGGTACAGTGCTCAAGGTCATTCGCAGCTTACCTCTGCATGTGCTGGGTGATGTACAGCAGCGCTCAGCTGCGCTGATGGGTTCATCGTTCTCTGAAGGCAGTGACCAATGTTGAGCAGCTGGCTGAAAGGCTGTTTGATCTTCCCACTGCTTTGCAGGCAATACCACACTGCTCAGGGTAAAAAAGAAAAAAAAAAAAGGGAAAAAAAGAAAAAAGAAGAAAAAAAGAACTATTGAAAAGATTTATCAGCAAACGTAGTAGAGCCATGCTTGACCTCCATATCTTCTCTTGTTCCCCAAAGGCAGCACATGTAAGATATTTCCTGTCTTTCATGTTACTGACTGGAATGCATCATGAAGTCCAAATCTGCAACCTGCTGTCTGTTTTAGTCATTAGGCATGACTGACTGTGTCTCTTGATGAGAGCTGCAGCCAACTGTTCACTGTTGTAATGCATAATTTTTTCAGTATTCCCCCCCTCCCCTGAACAAATAAACAAAAAAACCTCAGCCAGGCTGAAAGTTGAAATTCACTCATCAGCCGAGGCTGCTGTGTCTTACAGTGTCTTATTTCCACATCAGCACATCACACGCTGCTCTAGACCACCAAAACATTAGTCGCAGAGTAAATAGCCTCCACCTATAATTCAGGGGCCAAATTCAAATGTTACTGAACAACAATTAAAAGCATCTACTGGATTTCAAAAGAGCTGATCAGCCCCAACGCTTATCTGACGGAGCACAAAAGTTGGAGTTTACTGGCTGCAACTTGGCTCTTCTACATTCATTGATCTGTCAGTAACATCCATGCATTGCGACCTTTATATTTTTTAAAATTATGTCCACTCTGCAGAGACATGCCACAAGTTATGAAATTAAGCTGTTGTGTTATCTTCGCCAGCTGCTGTATCTTGTAATATTGTTCACAAAACAGTTACTTGGTATTTTAACCTCTGACCATCTTCAAAGTCAACTGAAGACAATTTACAAGGACATTAAAATATACATAGAGTGTAAAATACCAGTCCGGTTATGTTTTGATCCCCACAAGCAGTACACAAGTACTGGTTATGCCCTCGCTCCACTATTCTATATGTTCAATAAATGTCTTTAAAATGAAAGAAACTCCTAGAATGCCTGATCATATTTATAATAAGACTTCTGCAATAGAGAAAAAAAAAAAAAAAGAACTAAAAAGGTGCACATGCGGAACGGATACCTAATTTGAAAACTAGATTGGTGAGAGGGATCTCACCCTGACAAAGTGACCTGTGGGGATGCTCTGCCATTCCAATAATGAAAGTTTATTCCATGAGCAGCAAAATGAGCAGAACTTGATTTCTTATCTATTTTTGCCCTTTGTCCCCTAAATCTCCTTCCAGTGCAATAAGCCCGGCCATCTGCTCTTCCCCTACACCAGCCCCAGTTGTGGATACCTGCAGCGGTTAGTCTGGAGCTGGAGACATGGGTTGGCCCAGCAGCTCCTGTCAAACCCACGAGGTAACTGATGGTTTCTGACGGTGCTTCTGTCAGTGTGGGCACCAACATGAATCTTTTCCTTCTATCCAGCTCCCGGCACTCATAGACCTCACAGGCAATTAAGGTGATTAAATCCCATCTCAAATTTGGTTGAAATTGCTGAGCCATTTCCAAGGTTACGAAGGAGAGACCGGCCGGCAGATTGAGAGGCGGACCGCTGAGGGTTGGCATGCTAGGTTAAAAGCAGCCCATTCCTCGCATTCAGCACAAATATCCAAACCCTCACAGTTAGAAGTAAAACAGCCTTCGACTATGTTGCACTAACAGTTTGGCAGCTACTTTATAAATTATAAGGCAATTTGATATGTTTTGAATACTAATTTGACATCAGTCATTGCAAGCAAGTTGAAAAGACCTAAAGGTCAACTCATCCGTTCACCTGCAAACACAATTGTGTCATTTATCCATGTCCCACCTTGTAACTCAGAGACAGGCTTTGTTCTTTTTAATGGTTTGGAATTTCAAGACAGAAAACTGACAGAATATCTGCCAGTTCTCTTGTTCAGTTAAAAATGTTGGTCTGAAGAGAGGAAAAGCATTGAATTCAGTTCTTCTACAAGCAGGAGTTTCAGTCTTTCCCTTTTAGGAAAAGTTGCAGGATCCCAGACATGAGTCACCTCTTTGGAAGAAAAGAATGGAATATTACAACTATTTTTGCCCAAGGACTTCACCAAGAGGTAGAAGGCTTTAATGGAAAGCGTCTGGTCATGCCATGTGTATCTCGGGCTCACTATTTCCAGCCTTTGCCTGACCATACCCATTTACTTTGAAAGTTGTGAGCTCTGGTGGAGTAGGGATGCTCAGGCACTTTATACTCTTGTGTTCCCAGCTGCAGATAACACTATGCAGTTCGGTCCCTCAGCTGTAGACTGCAGGCTGATAGCCTAAATTATTCTGTTGGGAATTACTTTCCCTATAGCTTGAAGTAATTAATTGACTCTCATTACCTGTTTTAGTTCTGAATTTTCTCATTAATTTTAAACAGATACTAAACAGTTCATTTTGGGGAAACTTTCACAGTGAGAATTAAAAACATCTTTAAAGCAAGAAGATCATTGCTAAGAGGCATTTTCCTCTAATCCAGTCCATTAAAAATTGTCTGAAAACAACCAATAGAACAATAAGAGCCAAGGCAGGCTATCTAACTAGCAGAAATTATTTAGTTACTTTACAATTCATGGAAACTTGTGTTCCCACCCGTCACATGAGTTACTTATAAAGCTTTGCGTAAGGTTAATAAACATCCCCCACAAAAAACCCACATCTCCAAAACTTTAGACTATATGGCAACTCATTGTCATCTTCCCATACTAGAAAGGATATTTCTAATTCATTAATGATAGAAGATCCAGAACTGGGAGGAGACGTTGGAGACTGAGTGGCTCTAGCATTGCCACCAGATGCATTTGTAGTGTCCCTTGGGCATTTATGTAACCTTGGGTTTTACTGGTGAAGTACAACCAAATCACATATCCTTTTCTTTAATAACCTTTTCATTGTCTCTGAATTATACCTCATTTTGGGTTACGGCAAGTGACAGTTTCAATTTCACATCCAAATGGGATTTGAAATGCCACACAAGATGTGTTTTTAACACTTTACATCACCACATCTTTTTTAAGTAAGCACCTAAACACACTCCAGATACTGCATTGAAGCCTCACTTACATTAAGCAGCAGCAAGTCCTGTTCACTGAGGCAGGGAATATAGCTTTTCTGTATTTTGAGGTGGATTGGCCAAACCCTCATATGCCAATTCTCAAGCACAGGTATTGGTCCTTTTTTATCTCAGATTAGATAAATTGACTGTGTCATTCATACCTTTGCTAATCACAGCCACATTGCTCAACATACAGTTTCGAGAGTTTTCAAACTGCCATTATAAAATATCTTAAGAGAAGGGACAACCACTGTGTTTCAAAACTTTGCCTGCCCATTTTGACCATCTGTAAATCAGCAAACAAATTTCACGATCACTTGGAAGATATAGCCCAAAATTTACAATTGTTACCTGACAGGTATCCAAAGAGCAGAGACAGGAATGCAGCTTAACCCAGCAATGCCCAGGCCTCTTTAAAAACAGGCAGACCTACTATACATCTAAGTCACTTTGCTAATTAATAGGTAAGCACATGTCACTCCAGATAAACAACATCTGATGGACAAGATAGATGACTGCAAAAAATAACCAACAGCAGTTTGACAAGAGCGAATCAACACTGCCCATCACAAGGGAGAGCAAGGGGTCAACAGAAGAGAAAATCTGTGGAGGATAACCAGTCATGTTTTATGTATCGAATTATTTTACGCGTGCCTCACAGAGCCCACTGGCATAATTTCTCCGTAATTTTATCGAAAATCAAGACAAATTTAAAAATAAAAGTGAAAGTGATTTATAGGAGCTTGGATGGTAGTGAGAGGGTAGAATCAAAGATGTTAGTTCTAACCTATGTACTTTGGGGAAACTTGGGGCCAAAGTAATTCCTATCTTCAATAAATGGCATAATTTATGAATTACTCAGTGCCCACAGACTAAAACAAATTTGATAAAGGAAAAAGTAGTCCTCATTTTCATCATTGAAAGAAATATGACTGGGCTGAGGGAAAAATAAGACTGGCACATTAAAAATGACTGTTAGGAAAAGGACTACCGGTCTGATTGCAACTCGTGTGACTCGGTCAACTGCCTGTAACTATGAGATTGGCACTGTTTAAATTCACAGCTTTTCAGAAGGATGAAGCTTGCTCCCTATTCATCTTTGCCACCATTGAAAGAATTAAGAGAGTGGCTGGCGATGAAGAACAAATTAATCATGTTTATTGTGACAACCATGACTGTTATAAAACAGATACTCTTACAGCACATGCTAATCTCCCACACACTTTTTCTTTCTTTATCCAAAACCTGTTGAACATTCAGTTCAGGTCCCCCGAGACATATGTCTAGAAAAGCACCGATTCCAGGAATAAATCCATTTCAGGTATGTGCAATAGAAGTGGCTTGTAGTACACTATTTGTAGTTATGTGTCTAGATGTACCATTGTCCTCACATCTGAAGTCATGCCCTTATTTCTTGAAGAATGGCTTTGAACAGTCTTCAAGAACAACCATCTGTGTAGAAAAATAGCTAACCAAAAAATATTTATCTTTGATTTAGTTCAATATTTAATTCTTATCTGAATATTTACTCTTTACATTGGAAGTGGCTGAGGACAGGGAGCAATTAGGAAATCTCTAAACCAAGGTCAGCTCAAACACAGTCAATATGATATTACTGTCAAAGCTAATATTCAAAGTTTTCAAATGTAAGCAAAGAATGTGGAAGGAATGCCTGTAGAATAACATGGATTGACAAAAATGGGAAGGCTTTGAACTAGGGAGTTCGAACTGACACACAAACTCTTGTCCTGAAAACAACTCCTTCCTTGACATCGTGAAGTGTTAACAACCTTCGTCCAAAAAAAGACATCAGTGGAAGAACAGCTCTAGCTGTCCCTTACCTTCCCCTGGCCCTACAGAGTGCAACGTGCACTTGAGCACTGGAGGGTTTGCTGCTGCACACCTCACCCAGCCTACGATCTTCCAATCTAGGCTAGAGAATCGCGTTCCTATTTCATCACTGCTGCCCCACAGACACATCACAGCGACAGCAATGTTCCTCAAGCAGAACCACCCCATCCTAGCTAAGATAAAGGGCTATACTATCATTTGGCACCATTCAATCTAGGCCACAAAGAACAGTTACAGCCTAATTTTTCAGTCCTTCCACACTCCCATCATACTCTCCAAGGCTAAATAGCAAATACCTGCCCACGTGCCCTGCATATTCTGACATTTAAGAATGGTGACAATTTAATGCTGACTGTTGCAGTAGGTCATTTTGAAAAGATCTTCCATAGTCACATGATGATAAAACTTATTTGTCTGTCCTGTGCTTCAGTCATTACAGGCAGGTAAATGAATACAAAGTTTGGGAGGGAGAAAGCAAAGTCAGTACAGAAAAAGAGGCATTGTACACTGGGCTGAGCTCACACGACTAAATCGCATCGAACTTATTACGGGCATCACACTTCATGGTCTCTGGCAGAAAAGTCTGTTGTGCCAGGTAAGTGTCAGGGATCTGGATTCCTAAATATCCTTACCCTGCCCTGTTGGTGAAATTGCTGAACCTCTTTTATAGCTAAAAATACAGCCTGGCTTTATTTGCTCCCACCCACCATTAACGAGATGCAGTCCTACGCTCACAAGTTCCACTGTGAAGCAACAGGACAGCTGCAATCTTGCTAAAAGATGCAAGGAGGGTAACAATGGCACTCTGTCATTTGCTCCTTTATAACTGTCAAAGGGCCAACTGCATTTTATGCATCAGACTCTACCAGTAGTAGTGAAAATATGGCTTTCAGGCAAACTTCTTACCAAAAAAAAGGCTTAATGAACCAAGGACTCTCACCACTAAATGTTTCAGATGTACCTTGCTGCTGAAGACACTAGAGAGGACTCAGTCTGACAGACTGTTGGAAAACAGTGAAGTTTTGAAGCAAGACAACCGAAGAAAAATGAGTCTTTAAATATTAAAACCAAATTATTTTCCCTTGCACGGAGAAGGAGAATCGGAGGGCTAAAGTAAGTATTTGAGTCATCTAATCCACACGCTGTAGCCACAACTCATTAGGTATCTGCTAATTACAGCTTTGAAAGATGCCATGGAGTGACACAAGGCAGTCCTAGATGTATCTAGTTAGTTTTACAACTGAGGAGCCTGAGAAACCCTTGGGTTCTTTCCTACAGTCAAGAGCTTCAACAAAGAGCCCCTCTATTAATTACGAGCACATCTCCTCCTTTTTTATATATGAGAAACACTACAATCCTTATAAAAACTATAAAACAGCCATTGTCATTTAGGGATGCTATTAATCAAGGCATTCTCGTGTGTTTTCCCTTCACAGCTCCCTTGCCTAGATTTCAGCGTAACAGCTCATTGGTTTTTAACTAAAAGCAGAATGGTCATGTGCAGCCATTGCAGAAGGCTCAGGATTTTGATTTCAGTGCAGGAAACGTTTAGCTGTGATCCCTTTTGCAAAGGGAAGACCCTGAAGCGTCTGCCGGCATTAAGGGCACTGTAATGATCAATCTGACAAAAAGGATTGAAAATAGCTACTTCATTCTGAAA